AGACGGTATCCATGAAATTGCGTACTCTGTTTAATTATAGTGAGAAGAATGTTCACAGAAAAAAAAACAACCATTGTTCAGAATTTTGTTTTGTTTAAAACAACTAAAGTCGTAAAACTTTGTAAACTATTTGCTTGCCAATCATATAAAGTATTCTCAAATCTCGTGAGTCCTTAATACTAGAAACCCTGAAAAATCGAGTTACATACTTTAAAAAACGGACAGGAGTCATTTGACCCAACTCTTTTAAAATTAGTTTTAGTAACAAAAAAAGTATAATTTTAAATTAAAAATTCTTTATTCATTTTAAAAATAACATGAAATTTCAACTTTAATTTTTATTTTCTTATTTTAGTCCTTTTAGTCCTTTTAAGAAGCTATACTATATATTTAAGTTTGAAACACATCAATTATGCTTTACATTTTCTCGAAATTTTCCTTTTGATGCAGAAATGTTCCTAGAGCATTAAGATTTATTTACTACCTCTGTATCAAAAATAATACTTTTAAAAAAATTTCCCTTACGTCTTGTTGGCGGTTAGGGATCCAAATTTTATGAATTTTTCATTAAAGCACGAAATAGCAATTTAGAAAAAAAATAAATATTGGAAGTCAAATAGAAAAATGAGTCAAATGACCTACGTCCGTATTTCTAGTGTTAACTTATTAGTCACACAGTTTGTACTGAGAAAATCATCAAGATTGGTTTTCAATGCAAACATCTGACTGTTGTGAAAAAAAAATTTCACTAATGGTTTTCATATTTATAATAAAAGTTTATACCGTACGTTGATATGTAAAAAGTGAATCATTTGTGATTGTGAGTATTATTTACATATGTATCTACTCACACATAGATGAGAATTCGAGATAAGAATTGCTCTTATGAATATATACATACATACATACATTTATGCAAACATGCAGCGATAGCAATGTAATCGATCAATAACCCATGGTGATACCCGAATTAAAACGTTTGAGTAAAAAAAAAAATTATTTAAATAGTTACGAAACACAACACTCTAAACTAATTTACCACCACTACGCACTGCTAGCAACTTAATTTAAGCAAGACAAATAAACACGTGTGGCGAAAAAAAAATAATAATAAATTACGGCTAGGGAATGTATGTATGTAGACACCTCGAAAAAAAACACCGGCATATTTATAATACCTTTGACACCAAAGCTAACAAAATGAGGAGCAGCGTAAAAAAGACAAGTAAACATATCTGAAAATTTCCCATCAACATTGAAAAAAAAACCGAAAGAATAAAAACACATTTGAGACTCCAGCCAGCCAATTGCCTGTTCCCCCACTTTCGTACATTAATTTTATTCTGCTGTGCTCTACTTTGCGCTCGCAATCAGACTCTCTTTTAATCTGTTTAGTCGCTCACAACTCTTCGCTAACTACATATGTACATCTTCTCCATATACTTATGTATATATACATACAAACAAAAATACATATGTATGTACACACATTTATGTATATACAGAGTCAATAAAGTTTAGGTACAGCGAAGTTGTTGCAATATCGGCAACTATTTATTAAATATTTTATTTTTCGCGAATTTTTTATAAAAATATGGTTAATTCTACAACAAAATCCCCAAAAATCAGGGTTCTAAACCTTATGCAAAATTAAGGGAAATTCTGCAAATTTGCATCCAAATATTGCACTTATTATTTAAACTCTCTAGGAAAAAACTGAGTAAACAGTTTTTTAGCCCATTCAATTTGGTATAATAAAGTGCAAGTTGAAGGCACTGTTAACTCAGATTTTTCCTAGAGAGCGTTAATAAAAAGTAAAATATTTGAATAAAATTTTGCAGAATTTTCTTTAATTTTGCACAAAGTTTGGATCTCTGATTTTGATGTAGAATTAACCATATTTAAAAAAAAAATTAACGAAAAATAAAATATTTAAAAAATAGTTGCCCGTAATGTAAAAAAATTCGCTGTTCTTAAACTTTATTGACTGACTGTAGGTACAATAGACTGGTTGAAAAAATCAACTCTTTTTCAAAATCCCATGCGAATAATTTTTAGGACAGCGAAAAAAGACGCCTGTCAAAAGTGTAGCTCTCAATACTAAGAGAGGTCGCTCAGCACGAATTTCTTATTTTCATATAAATAACAAAAGAAACATTTTTTTTTTAGTTTTGAAATTGCGTAATAGCATTGGCAGCCGGCAACATTGACCCGGTTTAAAAGGTGCAGTTGATCAGCCACGAGATCGTTGGTTTTTGCGATTTTTTTTTTTTTAATAAAAATAAACTCTGAAATTTTATATTAGCTAACAATAAAATAAATTACGTAAAATAAAATAAGTCAAAAGAAAAAATAAAATAAAAATTATACATTTTGGGCAATCGCTCGAACCGAGGATCGAATCTGGGCTCTACGAAATTGTAGTACGCAACACTCGCCACTCGGCTACTGCGAACACCAAACTATCATACTTTGTTTTTGCTTACTTCTGCAATAGACAACAGCAGGCTGTTAATTGGGATCAACTGCAGATAAGTCTGCATAACCGAGTAGATCCAAAAATGATTATACCTTTCATGAACATCAGAAAATTTCCGTCGATTACTGCCTTTGAATATAAATGCTTGCGAGCTACACATACAAGGAGGAGTTATGGGTATAAAAAGAACTCATATCTGAACAATCAGTGGTCTGGTTATGACAAAAAACCCAATATCTGAAGAAGCAGTTGTATGGAGGCTATAGGGTAAGTGACCTGATCGTTGCGATTTTTTTTCACTGCAAGCTCTGTTGAATATAAGTGAAAGTGGTGCCAAATTTCATGTTCCTAGCTTCTTAATCGAGGAGTTTTAGCGAACATCTCGTATCTGAACAATCAGTTTTATGGGAGCCACATGTTGTAGTGTTCCGATGTTCCCGGTTCCGACAAATGATTAATAAAATATTAAAATGCACCCGATTTGCAAATTTCAGTATCTCTAAAACTGACGGACTGGATTGAGTATAAACAGACGGACAGACGAACAGGGCTAAATCGGCTCCTCACGACGTTCGGATTATTTACAAACAACGGACCAAAGCTCAAAAATATATATCGCTCATTCCGAAAAGTACATACCTAAAACAAGTTATGAAACTTCATAATTGAAAAAATTTTTCCCTGTTATTTATATGGAAAAATTTTAAGGACTGCGCGTAAGACATGTCTTTTTTTTCAGAAAGATAATCGATTTTTTAACCAGTGTAATATACATACATACATACATATAAGTAAGTAAATGGAGTAATAAAGCGGTTTTGTCATCAGTGTTGCCGTTTTGATACATATGTATCAAATTGGATACATTTTCGCCTTCAATTTTTAGGGATACTTCGTTTTTTTCCTCAGTGTATATTTGGATCCCTTTTCCCATAAGTATTCGTAAGTTGAAGGATTTTTTTTATTTATGTACGAGCTTAACAGTTGGCTGCTCATCCTGCAAGCAAGAAATTTTCTTTTATTCTTGCCACTTTGGAAAATTAATTTTTTAGCTACATAAACTGCATTTAATAACACCAAGTAGTTTGCAAATTTGAAAAGTTTTCCGACCTATAGTAGTTAATTGTAAGGCGAAAAATCAACTTTTCATCCTGAGCAACCCTTCCCTTAACATTCAAAGGAAATTGACAACCATGCCGATGACTAATTTTCAACAATAACTTGGCTGTACTAAAAATAATAACTTACAACTTCTAAATAAAAAAAAAAATAAAAAAATTAAAAATAAAATTAAATGTTCAGTTATATGTCGTTAAGCGAGAATTCAAAAAAGCCGGAAATAGAAATTTCTCTTGAAGGCGAAATTTACAGGCAAATGCAAGATTTTGAGAATTTTTTAATTTCATAGATAGCTCCTAATCCACCAGTTTCATTGAAAAACATTGTAACCATAATAGCAGGAAATAACAATTTACTGAACTAAATGTAATAGGTCGAAATTAGTTTAAATTAGTATTATTTTGATAGACTAGGAAATATTTTTTGCATGTATTATTTGTGGGAATCTAATCGCAGTAATAAACATTGAACATACGGAAACTTTGGCCCGTCGTTTTAGTCAGTATTTTCCATTCTAAGAAAAAGATCTGGGAGACAAAGGCCCTTAATTATATTAAAATTATGTCAAAAAGCTGCAATTAACTTTAGAGTCGACTTAATTTTGACTATAAATACGGGCCTTTGTTTCCCAAATCCGTGTCTAAGTATGGAAAAATACTGACTACATGTTAATAAGTTTGTTAAGGGGCCGAGTTTCTCTTCCAGAGATGTACTGTGTAAAAATGTCCGCTCTTTTCGGTGGATACATTTGGATACAATTTTAAATTTTTTTCTGGATACTATAAAGGCTAAGGCAGTGGCAACACTGTTTGTCATTGTTAGTCTCTTCTTCTCACACTACCACTGTCGCCTCTCCCTGACTTTAACGCACTAGTCGCCGATAATGCAATGGAATCACATTCTCCCGTTCTATACCTACTAAAATGGAACCGGCTAGCCGCTGATTCTATTTTTGCACGCTATACACTCAATGATATATATAGTTTATACATACGTAAATATTGTATAGATATACACATATATGTATATTTCCAGAAATATCTTAGCCTTATGATACTTTCGATATAGTCAGCCACGCGATATTCAGCGACACGCTAGACCTTTGGTGCCGCATCTTTGGAACATAGCTTTCCATTCCCCGATTTAAATGGACACCAACGAGCATTGAAAGTCGTTAACCTTCTGCCTAAAGTCGATGAAGTGCAATGCCAAAAACGTTAAGGTAGCTCGCAGCTGAGAGATGCGTTTGGCGTGGCAGCTGAAGGAGAGTGAACCAAACACAAAAAGAGAACCACAAGAAAAAAACAGCGAAAACACATGCGATCACATTTTTTTCTGGCTTCGAATAATATTTCCATTGCAGTGCAGAGAATACTCTTTTGTTTTTTGTGGCTCCACTTACCAGCAAATACGGCCCGGTTGGTGTTAGCCGCAGTCCACGGCATAGATGGCTACACAATTCCGTGCGCCGCATTAACATACGGAAACTTGTTACACATACGCCCGGCGCCATATTCACCCCGAATCCTGTAACTACACCAGCAACGGCAACGACACACCCGCTTTTCACACGCCCACCTCTTATTTTACCGCTTTACACCGTGACGCGCTCACAAAACAGCTATCAGCAAGCAATACAACAACGAATCGAACGATAACTTCACTCCACTTCACTTCACCTAGTTTGCGAATGCCGATGCAAACAAATTTCACTTAATTTTGGATTGAATTTTTTCCTTTTTGCATTCAATAAGAGCTTTGTTTTTTTGTTTGCAAAGCAGTTGTGGAAGGAGAATTTCACCTTTTTCTTCGATTAAACAGAAATTATAAGAAAACCTTTTGCGTAGTCTTTTGCTGCTACTCCTGCTGCTGGATGGTACTGGCGTTACTGCGCTTATTCACACACTTTGTCACTTTGCTCTTTTACAAGCTTTTATTTTTCTTCTTAATTTTCCACTTTGCATGAACGCCACACACACACACACACACACACAGAAACACAAGCGCGCGCTTGAATTTTATACTTTATTTATATAGTGGTAATGTAACACAACAAATCCCAAACACCGGGGAGCTCACTGGTGCTGGCGCTAGCACTGGGGCTCCATGCAGTTATCGGATTCACTTGCTCGCTCGCTCGCTTGTTTGCTTCGCTTTACTATGCCGCGGCGGCTGGCCAAGCTCCACGGTGCGAAGTAAAGTGTCCCCAACACGCTTAGAACGTTGGCAAACAACTGAAAGTTCTCTTTTGCCTGCACTTTATCACTGTGCTGCTTTCACTAGCATTCTGCTCTGTTTGCGGCGGTGTTGCCGGAGGTGAGAGCTTTTTTCTTGGAAGCTGTCTAAATGCTGGGTCATTTGGAAAATTTTGAGAAATAATTAAGCTTGGCAAAGAAAGTAACGCGGTCGAAAAGAAACGTTATGATTTCTTTAGAGATTAGTCTAAATTTTATTTACTAGGCAACTTTTGCTAAGAGTTCGTGAAAAAAATAAAAAAGGAAACAGTTGAGGGTTACACAACGGTGTCGTAAGTAAGTGTCGCATTGTTGTATGTCGTATAGTTTAAAAGCTTAAATAAATGTTTCGAGGACTTGAAACCATAACCAACATTTTTTTACAGTCTTAAGCAAATAATCGAAAAAGTTAAATTTGATTTAACAATTAAAAATCAAATAATTTCTTACTTAAAATTAAGATTTATCACATTGAAAACTTCTTCCACAAAAACATGTGCTAACAATACGACAGCACGCGGTTGGGCCAATGTCAAATGTTAATGTTGTATACGCATATAAAACTACCCAAAAGTTTACTTGAAAGAGCGTAAGCTTTTCTCTCTTAGCAACAGCAAGTTTGTATGATTTCTCTTTTATTGCCGCCACCGATAAATATATAGAAGTATTTGTAAATATATGCACGGATGTTTATACATATGTATGTATGTATGTATATATGTAGCATATATACATTTGTTAAACCAGATGGGCATCATGTGGAGCAATTTCATTGAGTAAAGCGCCTTGCAGTGAATGGTTGTGTGGTTGTGAAGTAGAATGGTACCAGTTTGCGTTTCAGCCCAACTAGTTCACTTTCTATCCTTTTTCAATATTAGCGACTTCTTCGGTACCCGATAATGTTTTTCTTTTTTAATGTATTTTTTTTACTAAAAATTGAAAATAATTCTCAAATTTGATTAAAAAAAAGAAATTTTTTGAACCTCTTTGTAATTTTCATGGTAAGAAGTAATTTTTATAAAAAAAAACCGACTTAAAAAAAATATATATATATATTTCATGATACAATGATCGGATCTAAACCAAATCGGTTGACGTGGTCCAAAGTTATGCGGTTACATACATAAAAAAAATATTCCGACGAACTGATGACCTCCTCCTTTTTTGGAAGTCGGTTAAAAATAATTTTTATATAGGTTTTCCTCGAATTTAAATAATCGCCATAATCTTTTATTGATTTGAAACATTTAAACCACCTCCAAGCAAATTTTAGTTTATTTGAATAGAAATTGTTTAAACATTTAATATTTATTTAAAATCTGCCATTAGAGAACCGGTAGACTTCATGCGACGCTACAGTCGACATTTGCATGAACAGCAATTCATTGCGTTTTATTTTTGACTTTGACAATTCAAAAGCGCATGTAGCTGAACTGGTAGGCCATTGCTTTAGCTATACTAGTTAATTAACTGGTAATTTTACTGACTGATTTGGCTTTTCACTGCAGGGTACTGGCTTGAATACATATTTGTATGGTACATAACTAAAGGCTCTGTTATGCATACTTGGCATTGCATGCACTGCTATACCATTTTTACGTAGAAATCAAAAACCAACAGACTTCTACGTATGTAGTGCTGTGCGTTCGATAACCGATTACACGCGAGGCTCATTTAACAGATTTCTTATGTGACAGCTCTCAAGCCATGCCAAGTATGCATAACGGAGCCTTTAGGGTGTACGTTAGGGTGGTCCAAATATTCATGTGAAAAAGTAAAGTCGAAATCTTTATGCTCACACCCCCTAAGATTGTGCTATACCTAAAAAAAAAATATACTCCTCCATTTTTATTTTGAAATCAAAACATATTTAGAAGTCACTCAAAGCGCTCAAAGTTTCACTTGTATTTCATACAACAAAACAACGTTTCGTAAAAATTGTGTAGAACTCTTGAAAATCAATGTTTCTCTTTCTTTCTAAAATCCCGACTTTGCTTTTCTGGACCACCCTAGTGTACGAATGTACATACTTTCATGTACAAATTTAATTTACTGTAAATTCGGCTGTTTAATACATATTTGGCGGAGAAAGTTAAAAGAGCCCCACGGAACGATTTCTCTATTTTTCAGCCTCATTGCGAGAGTCGTGCCGAATGCAAGTCGTTTTTCGAGAGTCGAATCGTATCGAAAATTTAGCGTCATTGCCTAAAATTTCCACTCGACTAGTGTATTAAAACGGAAGAACTTGGCAGCACTGCATAGTTTTCGACAATTTTCGTCGTTTACTTATTTCAGCACGACAGTAGACAATGCTAATGTTGTCGAGTCGTACAATTCAGCCTAATTTACGACTTACGCAATGAGGCTGAATATTTGTTTAGCAATTCCTATACATATGTACATAGTACATAGCTGCTACCTCATTTTAAGAAACTGAAGCTTTCTAACTTCATTAGTTTTTTTTGCCAATTCTCTTCAATGATGGACTAAAATTACAAATCAAATTGACTTGTTAATTCTTTTAACTTTCCCTATTTTCCTACCTGTTTTTAGTGAATAGGAAGGATATGAGCTTTAAAGCTATAAGCACACTCCCTCGAGGAAGCACGTAAGCAAGTTTCACCAACAAACATCCGCATCGGGAAAAGCTTTTATTTGAAAGGATATTTCATCCGTATCCCACATTTAAAAAAGCTTTACATGCAGTGTGTGGAACCACTCTTAAATTGTGTACTTTTGAAATTTTAATTCTGCTACTTACCGCTGGGGTTGTTATTCTTTTAGAATGTATAAATAAGGACAAACACTTTTGAGAATGTAATATTTTAGGCCTCTATCTATCTGTCAGTTTAATGAACTGATGTATGTATGTACATACCATATATCGTCGTTTAAAGTGCAAAACCGCGTATCAGCAAAATGCAAAACCGCGTATATGAGGTTGCATAAATTATTTTTTAGAGAGTAAAAACACTCATACATTTCAAAATGGTTCTCTTTTTTATAAAGAAATCGCATATCTGGATAGTATATTTCAGGACGAATGGATAAGGATTGAGCCAAGAGCTTGTGTGAGCAAATCCAATTTTTGGCAGACAATGTCAGTTACGCGGTTTTGTACTTTAAGCGGCGATATGTATTTTAACACGAACGCAGCAATCTAGTACACGGGTGGAGCAGGAACGCAGCATAGCAGAAGCATATAAACGACGATATGGATATACTACAAAATTACGGCCAACAAGACCCATTATGGTTGCAGTTAAGCTCGAAAATATGGCTGGGACTATCCGTATACACAACGAATATTCGTTAATTTTGCTTTTCGCATATCCAGTTAGTATCCGTTAATTTTATTATCCGAATATTCGGATTTTTATTCAAACATTCAAATAATCGGATTAGCCGTTCATTCATAAAATCCAGTTAGAACTTCCAGTCCTAGTCTAACAAGATACGATATGATGTTCAATTTGAGGCCGAAATGTGAAAATTTTAAATCAATGCTAAAAAATTTAGACACGAGGGGGGGGGGGGGGCTAATCAGTTTTGAGTCTAAGTACCTTTAAGTGTTATTAATGTCTTGTTCTGCGTGTCACTAATTGCTAATAACCTTTGTAGTATAAATACCGAATATTACGTCATTAACATCATTACGCTTTCAGTAATCGCTGTCAGAGCTGTCATCCATCAAATTCCTCTTAGAGAATAACACACCGACGGAAATATTTGAAGAAATGTCTACAGTGTATGGGTAAGGGAGTCGCTGGAAGATAACCCCAGGTCAGGGGTCACCCACGGGCATTGTATAGGTATATTGTTCATCGAAAATCTTCCTAAACAAAAACTACAATGTGCTGAAAAAAATGCGTTAAGTGGTTCTCGCCCAACGGAGAGGCCAAATGGGTCCTGTTTTTGCAAGACAATGCACCCGTACATACTACGCGAGGCATTTACTGATCGAGACTACCACTCACCATTCAGCGCAGACCTGACCCCCAGCGATTACTTTCTGTTGTCCAATTTGAATAAAAACCTCCAAGGACGAAGAATTTCGAATGAAGAAGAAATGACGATGGTAGTAGACGAGCATTTCGAAGACAAAGACAGCGAACATTTTTTCAGCGGGCTAAAATTTCTTTATGATAAATGTAAGAACTGCATTGAAACATAAGGCGGATTTATAGTAAAAAAAAATTTTGTTTATATTTCTATTAGCTATTTTAAAACCTTAGGCTCAAAACTTTTCAAGCTCCCCTCATTAGGTGAAGCAAATTTCCTTTGTAGTTTAATTACGACGCGCGCATACCCTATAAACATTCGGACTCAATTTAGAGTCAGAAAAGTGTCAGAATTTCGAGTTGTAACCCTCATTATGAGCTCAATAAAGAGTTCGAAAGAACCATATTTCCCCTTCTTCTTAGAAGGGCACGCAAATGCAAGTCCAAGTTAGGAGCCATTATTAGAGTCAGAAGTATGACGCTTTTCTGAGTCTTAAACACAAACATCTATACATAGTATAAAGGAAAGTCTAGATTCTTTGACTACTGAACGGATTTTGATGAGATTTTCTCTAATATATGTATTCTGTACAGACAGGGGCCGTGACCTTTGGTATTTAGAATTTCGATCGGTTGCCACCTGTCTAAAAATTATAAGATCCACGCAGTTCGTTGGATTACAAAAAATTAGGTGTTAAATGCAAGGAATTGGCCTCTAGATAAGCATAATTGTTTTATTTTTTTTTGAGTAAGGTTGTCACCTGTTAAGAAATTACTACATCCAATCTTAATAAGCGAAGACCGTCACCGTCAAACGAGAATACTTAGCCTCTAGAACTGCAATACAATCGGCGCAAAACTGTAGGTCCCACCCACCCTTTTGTGAGACAACATCAAGGCGCATGCCACAAATCGGAGAAGCTCGGCCAAACACTAACATATGTATGTATGTATAAGTAAGCGCCAATATACCCTACAAGACATTGCTGAGCACTTTAGGCAAAAATTCTCACACATTTACACTTTTGTTTTTGTAGTACGGCATAAATGAGTAGTTTGACTATTAGTACTGAGGACTTTCTGATGACAACATTGAGGGGAAAGTACTCAATTTTTTCCCATGGCCTGAACGAAAATGAGGACTTTGATAAGCACTTTTGTGATTAGGGATAATGATAATATGAGTACTCATATGATACTCAGCTGTCTTGCAGGGTATTATTGTTATTATTATGGAGAATTACTACACAGATTTGGACGAGATTTTGCTTAATATAATCTGTATCACCTTCTCTCCACCTCTCTAAAAAATTGTAAGATCTGTTCGTTGAAATACAAAAAGTCAGATTTGAAATGAAAAGGCTTGGCCTCTAGATGTTCAAAGTTTTTTATTCCTTGAATAGGGGTGCCACCTTGTTAAAAAAGATCGTTTTATATACATACGAAAAAATATCTTAACTAGGCATAGAACCAAATCTCCAATAATCTTTGACAACGTGCTTCTATAAGGAAGGAGACATTTTCGAAAGCGAAAATGGTTATTCAGGGACAAGAAAACGTATAACGTGCTATAAGAATCTTCTGCTAGGTACAAGATCAATTTTAACATATATTTCCTCTCTAAGCAACTTTCCATTCTCATTTTCCATGATTTCAATTAAAACTCAGTGGTGCATTTCTTCTTTCAATCCACATTTTTATTTACTTAATCGTTTTTTTGTTTTTTATTGTCTCTTTATGAATATGTTTTTGTTGTTTTAGTATACTTAATAAGCTGCTTCCTTATTTGCATAATATTTTTTTTGTATATATTTACTTTCATGTACACTGCCGGCAATAAGTATTGGCACAGCGAATTTTTCACAATATGTGCACCAATTTCTATTCTAATATTTTTCCGCTAATTCTTTTTTATAAAAGTAAATTCATAAACATATAATTCCTTAACTTTGTGAAACACTCGCGAAAATTCAGCAAATTTTCATGCAACCTTTCAACTTTTTATTAAGATTTTTTAGAATTTAAGTAGCTAGGAATTACCGTTGATTTTTGGCAATTTTTTTCACATAGTCTCTTCCATACACACAATTTTTTTTCGAAAATACGGTATATGGAAAAAGTGCAAAACACCTTTAACAAAAAAAAAAAAATCTCAAAAAGCAATGCGATTTTTAAATAACTCCGAACTTGCGTTTCTTTTAACTAGTATTTAATGGGCTACAAAACTGCATACTCAAGATAACTCCGAAAAAATCTGATTAAAAAGTTGAAAATTTGCATGCAATTCTTTTTGTATTTTCGCCAGTTTTGCACAAATTTTATAAATTATATTTTTATTTTTTTGTTGTTGCGGAATGAACTATATTTTTATACAAAATTTGCGGAATAATATTAGACTAGAAATTGTGAAAAATTGGCTGTGTCAATACTTTTTGCCTCCAGTGTACTTGTTCGGTTTTTTTGTTCTTTAAAGCGATACACTTTCACACACAACTTATCTAAAATGGTAAAATCAATAAAGTTGTTGAAGTTAACATTACATTTTTATTGACTTACTTGTTTAGGTTTGCTTGTTTTTATATTTGTTTTGTAACTTTTTTATTCTTGTTGTTCTGGGACACTAAATAATTACAAGTTAGTTGCATATGTACATATGTTGGACAATTTATTGATAAAAGTAGGTAGTTACATATGTATATGAATGTTATTTTTATAGCGGCATTGGTTGTGTATCTATATATGTATGTAAGTAGTATACAAATTGACCAACACACTCAACTGCATGTTCATACAAACACAATTTTTTTTTTAGCGTACATGCACAGATAAAGCTTTTCGATTTTTTGTTTTTACACGGAGTTGATGTATTAAAAATAGATTTGGTTTAGTATTTGCTTTCATTGACAGGCGTTTTTTGTTTTTTTTTTTTAGTGAGAAATATATAGTTACGGTGTTGCCATTGTGTTCGAATAAGTAAATACACATAATTTAGTATTGGTTAATATTTTTAAAAACTCAATTGAGGGATCTTCGAGGTCAGGCTGAATTTTACTTGACTACATAGTGGGTCAAATATAAATGTTTAATCTTTTTCGAATCAGTACTTCTCCAAATTTCGACGAAACTCCTTTAGATTTGTCTGGATTGAGCTACGAATAATAACTAATGAAACGCGAACCCATCACTATACATTTGAGCACTCAGAACATTTCAAACACTGGACAAAATCCAATTTGAGTGTTCCAAAGAAAGCGTAATTCATTCCATCAGCTGGAAAAGTAATGACTGGTTTTTATTACATTGCATAATATTCACTAGTTCAGCTATGAACTGAGGAAAGAATGACCACATTCGGCCAACAAAAAAGTGAAATTTTTTAAGACAATCCACCACACTTTGAAGCCGACAAGTTAAATAACTTACACCACGAATGGCTTTTTCATTCATTGTATTTTTCAGATTTGGTACACAATCTTATTACATTAAACGAGCAATTCTTGTATATATATATCCATAGCGTTCTCGGAAATGGCTCTAACGATTTTGATGAAATTTTGTACACAGATGTTTTGGATTTTAAGGTTATCTGAATAGGCACTATCTCCGAGAAGATTAGTATAAGGTTGCCACCTATTCGAAATTAGTTACAAATTAATTAAAACATCATAATATGGGTATCAAAGGGAAGGTATTTTACAGATCCCTAATTCAAAAATATTTTTAGTAGGGTTGCCACCTGTTTTGAATCACACCTTTATTTAATTTTTGTTTAGAAAAAGAAGGTAAAATATTGCTATTCATGGGTACCAAGAAAAGGTTCTTAAACAATGCTTTCTTTATTGTATATAAAATGTTGTCCCTTAGGATAATTGTGTAAGGTTACCACTTATTTTCGATCCTACACAATTTATCTAAAACGTCGCCAATATGGATATCAAATGAAATGTAGCTTTGGCTAGAAATTAGAGCTTTGGCCAGAAAATATTTTCCGTCAGGGTTGCCATGCTTCTATGCAATACAAATTTTTATCTTGAAAACTTTAAAAAGTATATGCACCCCAGGCAAAGCTCGGCCAACCTGGTACTGTTAAAATTATACTTTTAACCGACTTCCAAAAAAGGAGGAGGTTATCAGTTGGTCGGAATATATATATATATATTTTTTTTATGTATGTTAACGCATAACTTTGGACCACGTCGACCGATTTCAATAATTCTTTTTGCATCGGAAAGGTAGTGTCTCAGAGGTGGTCCCATACTAATCTGGTGTAGTTCTGATCATTGGATGATATATATATTTTTTAAGTCGTTTTTTCTTTGCTAAAAATTACTTGTCAAATATAAAAAAATGTCATGGGTGCAAAAGATTTATTTTAAAGAAAAATATGGTGCGGAAAAGAAAGGGAAGACTGTACGATTCATTAGTAGGGAATTGGGGCTTGTATAAGCATAACTACTGTGGTGTAGTGCCGCAGAACCAGTTTCCGACTAACATCAAAAACGAAAGAAAATAAAAAGTTGCAGCAGGCAATGGCAAACCTCCATGTCTACTGTGCCATGAAAAAAAATCGCTTTTCAAAGGATGGATGTATTTCTCTCTGCTTGACTGACTTGAAACTTTGAAAATATTTCTAGCCTCTAGCCCATAATCTAGAAATAAATCGTGTAATTTTTGTGTGAATTGTTTCTTCTTAAATTGAAAACGCATTGCTTTGAAGTTAAACATTTTTTATGTCCTGCAGTTGTTATCGAAACGAAATTAGGTATTTATGTACATAAAATTTCCCCTAATTTAGAAAATCATAAATTTCGCAATTTTTCGCCCGACAGTGATTTATGTGTAGTGCAAGTAAATTTTTGTTTTTTTTTTGTTGTCCAAGCCGCTGCATTGTTTATTTCGCACATAATTAGCGCCATATAATTAAAGCTGCTGATTGCAGTTATTGTTATAGAAACAAATTTACAACAACTACTACTTATAGGATATGTTTGTATAGACTAATTTTTACTAAAAACATATTCGTATTTATGTTTATATGTATACTTAACTAGCTTAAATGTTTAATTTTTAATTTTTATACACTATGCACATGGACTGTAACTAAACAATTGTATTGTAAATTTATATACAAATAGACATACATACATAGATACACTATAGTATGTGTACACTGCTGACTACTACATACAAGCGTAATTATTACTAATTAGATACATAAAAAATACAGTACACGCAATTTTTTTTCATTTGACTGCCTCTATTTTCATCATCTAATATACATTTGCTTTTGTATACATAACTTAGTTGGAAAAACTACATTTACATACACATATTGCTTACTTACTCGTATACATACTTACATATAACAGATTTTTCTCCTTCACTTACATACGTATTTATAAGCTACATAAATATTGACTTTAATTGCCTTAATTTCCTTTACAATTACGCTTCAATTTTCCTTTCGTTGACTGCGTATGCTCCGACGCACGACTGCCTAAATTTAGCATTTTGCCAATTAAATTATGTACATCAAATTGAATAAGTAGTACTTTATTGACATCCAACGATTTGCTGCTTTCGAGCGCCGCTCCTTATAGTTCCCGCTAAAAATGCGTCCAGCTGTTACGTCTATGATGTCTATATTGTATACTTTTAGGCGTTTCATCCTCGTATGCCATCGCGTTGTTACTATTATCATCAGTTTGTTGTTTGAGCCTTACAAATACCAATTCGAATTGTTTTCGCAGTTTGCTGCGCAGTCGTCGGAATTGCATTAGCTATCACGTACCCGTGGAGAGGTCATCTTTCAGCCATTGCGGTATGGGTCGAGAGCCCAATTTCTTCAGCAGTTTCACAAGGGCTGTATTGTGGCTAAGGTAGTAGCTAGATGGGAGTAGACGAGAAATGAAAATTAATAAAAAAAAACCGAATAATAATTAACATCAATAGCTTTGATTAGATAAAGCGGTGTCACTAGTAATACGATAAAATATAATTTATTCTTGAATTGCTGCAATACAGACATTCATCATATTATTCAACTTGGAAATCGATATTTATAGACATCATTTATTTACCAGTCTTAATATCGCTTTTGCTATAATTTTATTTATCAAAAATATCGATGTACTATTCAACTTCGTTATCGATATTTTTCAGTGCGAGATATTTTAATCGATACCTCTGCTCTTCACAACACTTCGTCAAACCCTAGAATTCCTGAAAATTTATAAGGTTCCTTGGTGGTAGAGAGCATACATATGCGCTTATCCTTTGCCCTTATTGAGCCTAGACGTCGTCGTCTCGAAACGCCCTCCTGCTCAAGAAGTAGGTGCAACGGTATTTCTTTAGCTAAGTTACAAAAGCGACAGAGGTATTTTGAGCAAATTCCTCCTACCCCTGTAAGCTGTAAAGATGCCTGTGATAATTCTCAGTATCTACTTTGGAAGGTTAATTAGAAGCCTGTAGCTCTACACATTGTATCAACCCATTAAGCTTTTGGTTTGGCGATGTCCTGTGGTGCTTTGCCAGTGTTTTTCTCACCTTCTTACTAACTTTTTATTGAGCCCTTTTCTGATTGTTTGGTCCTACTGCCAGGAACGGTCAATGCAAGCAAGGACTAGAGAAAAGGCATGGGTACCGCCTTACTATCGCTAAGAGCTAGGATTCTCGCATTACGATAGTTTCTACGAAGTTAAGCTCTACACACTCACTAGTGGCGTAAAATTCCGGCAGAAAAATGCCCACGAAATTCCGCACATGCACACACTGATTTATCCTAGAGGCATAGATGGATGCCCCAGTAGCGGAGTTACTACAGTTTGCTTTGCTATAGAGCTTTTTGACATCCTTCTCGCGAACAAGTACCTTGTTTATATCATCTTTGGGGAAAAGGGATGGTGAGAGCTGGGATTTCAGCTTTTCCACGTCGCTAAATGATAGGGTCCTTCCTTTGTCAAAGCCCTCTTGCGAAGTTTGGGAAATTACGATTGGCTGCCTGCAATCGGGCCAGTGCGCATCGCTCCTGGAATACATACACAGGCTAGACGTTGGTGTTTATTTAGAGGGTACACCGTGACAAGGCACTTATAAAACCGATCTTGTACGGGCATCGGAGGGGACCGCTAGCGGCCAGTTCATCAAGTTTTACTGGTCATTCATCCATCGCCACGGGTAACTCAACACCACTGGTTTAAAGTGCTTTGAGGAGGAAGGAAAGAAGAAGAGCTGGTCGGGAATATATACATAGGTAGGATGGTAGGGCCGCAACACGACCTACGGATGAGCAACCTATACCCAGTACCCCTCTTGATTCATGGTGCTGTCCCCGGCACCACTTAAGCCCCACCGCCAGGGACAAGGAGATCGAGACGATGAGGCGGCTGGTCTTACTATCATGGTGTACATTAATCTCAGGACAATTGGATTACATCCCCACGACTTGCCTGCCTAACAATTGCACACCATTTGTGCCTTCGTGGCTTTTGAAGTTTGTAGTCCACCGTTAAAGTAAGATACTGCATCCCGATGTTTAGAACCCTTTTGCGATATTTAGAACCCTTTGCCACTATTATGTTGTAGACGGTACTTAAGATCAACAGCACCGTAAGTATTGAAAGGTTCAAGCTATTCCACAACATAGCGAACTTTCCTGAAAAGGAGTAAGGCATGCTTACATTCGTATCTTAATTGCAGCTCGACGAGCATCCTTTAGCGAGTACAAAATACTCTAAAGCTGAATAATATCCTTTATAAGGCAACTCAGCGCTTGTTTTATATGTACTGAAACACTTAAGTCACTATTTTGAAGTAGCTTCGCCAACGACGGTCAGAATTATTATTATTATTAGTAATAATTCCTTATGCATATTTAATCTGATTTATTTAGCTTTTATATTTCAAATTATAATTATATAATTTATCCCGTAAATACTATTAATCTTCAATTAATTAAAAGTTGTATGTATTGTATTTCAACGCTACCGCATAAGCTCCAGTATATGTCATTTACTGCATTTTCCCAGTATGTGAGTAATAATTATGGGCTTTTTTTTTGGTGCCGGTATTTTATACAAAACGAACTTTATTAAAATCCATGAGCTTAATCCAATTTTAATTAAGTGGACATTATTAGGAAGCGGCAGTAGACTAACGTACAAAGAATGTCGAGCCGACAATAACAACAGTGAATGACATATTTATAAAACATATGCATGCCCGCGCGTACGAGGGTAGTCGGAAATATTTAAATTGTGAGCACCAGTTTGTTCGTTAAATTCGGTTCGATATTTTGTAAGTTTACCCCGAACAAAGAATTCACATTGCAATTTTATGTAGCTTAAAAGAGATAAAGTAGTTATAGCTTATTGACCTTTCAGATTTAACTACTCTAGCTAGTTACTACTTAAAGTTCAAAAAAAAAAAAAAATGAGATTTCAAATAAAGATAATGTGTACAAGTTTCCGAGCCAGGTCAGTGAAATATTTGAGATATTTAAGTAGCACTCTTACTTTCATATTGATACAAATTTCTAATATTTCTGAATTAAAGGTTGAAATTTTTGGGGGATTTTAGTAAAATTTTGATTTTAGTAAAATTTTGATTTTAGTAAAATTTTGATTTTAGTAAAATTGTGGATTTATATGGCTCTTGTTCTATGTATATTGCGCTAGAATTAAAAAATATATATATTAAAGATCGACCAAAAGGAAATATAGCCAAAACTGGACAAAATAAAAAGTTTCCATTATTTTTCCAACACTATATGTATAGTTTGCGAGATAATTCAATAGCTCAAGCTCATTTTAACAAGACTACTCAGTGAGGTGGACTAATTTTGATTTTGTAAGTGCTTTCTACAGTGTCGCCGCTGAGTTAAAGAGTCAGTAATTTGTCTTCGTTTCTTTCAATTTATTATTCTTTGGGCCCATAAATCGGATGGTTTTTTTTTTGAGTCATAGAACTTTTCTTTCAAATACAACTAGGGCTTCGGAGCTCCGCTCCTGCTTCCAATAAAAAGCTTTTCATATTTCTTTATTTGCTTACATATCGAGCCATAACCGCCAAAAAATGTAGGCGATTATTTTTATTTTTTTGAAAATTTTTTCTTAATGCAGTAATGCATATAGATGCTGTAGGAGCTCTTCGCTGTTTAACACGGTGATTTTGAGTGGCAAAAAAATTAGTAAATTTATTAACTGAAAATTTTTCATTACCGAGCTAAGAAGCAAATGATTTTTTTTAGCTCTTTGCTCCAGCTAAAATCCTTTGCTTCGTGCATAGCTGGTCTTTCGTAAATAAATTTCCACGATTTGTACAGGTTACTCCGGTGTAAGTCCTTGCATGGTAATTAGCGAAAGTATACTGAATACAAATGAAAAAAACACATGTTTTTACTTCGACAGCTATCCCTCTAGAAAATTCTATACCTATAAAAAAAATACCCTTTAAACTGTTTAGTAGAGTTTAACGAAGAGTTATAACTACACTAAGAACTCAGCACTTTGAAAAAATGAGTATAAGCGTGCGGCAAACTGTTGGCAGTCAACTCGATAACTCCGCCCAGTGCCAAGCTACGGAGTATTACTGTGAGTCGAAGGCTTCAAATTACTATAGACTCCAGGCGTAGGCTCATATTTTAGAAATTGTTTTGTTAAGAAACCTATTAACCCCAGTTTTGCAAACACGAGGCCCTGAAATCGTGTATATTAGGTATTAAAGAAATTAAAATAAGTGAACGATTTCCAGACTGCAATACAATGGCTCTTACAATTAGATTCGTCGTATGCTGCATAACCGTAATACTTCACATAAATCACACACAAGCAGAATACTTTGAAATTGAGAAAAGCAACCCTCGTAGTGCACAAGCGTGCATTTGCACATATCCTCGTATGTTCACTTATGCATAAGCTCGATGCCACACCAACTCATACAAAATGACGCGCACTCATGTGCTCGCCATATCGCAAAATTAGCAAAAAAAAGCAGGCTATTGAGTGAAAAACTGGATCAGAGACTTTGCAAACTGAATGGAGAACTTTAAAACTGAATGAAAGCAGCGGATGAAACTGTCGCTGCAGGATGCTACATTCCGGCCTTGCTGGTTTGATAACAAAGGCATGATGGGAAGTTTGATGGTCGGAAAAACGTAGCTGAAAAAGTAGGTGGCGAAAAATGTGAAAATTTTAAAAAAAAAGAGCAGGCGAACTGAAACACGTCCACCAAGCGAAACGTGTACAACACTACATGCATACATACATACAAACATATGAAGCTGAAACAAAAACGGAAAAGCAATTTAGGAAACAGTGAAATGCACTTTACCTAAACCGCTGCTGCCGCTGCCGTCACTGTCACTGTTGCAATACTGGCCGCAATGCCATTTGGCAGGCAAGCAAAATCAAGCAAATAAAATTAAAAATAAAACCGAAAATAAAACATCAAAACCATTTAGATATGAAAGCATACACACAGGCGTCCAGGAGTAGCATGCAAATCTCTGCACACAAAACCTCAATTGAATATCGTCGGCATTTCTCGGAAGCGGCGCGCAAAGCTGTACTACATTCAAGTGGGTATGAGGGGGTTTTTTTTTTAGCACAGCCAGGTATGTATGTAAGTGAGTGCCCGGTGCGGAAGCGCGTGGAGTACAGCAATCGTCATTTTGCAGTTCACTACACAATTCGCCACAATCTGGGTGCATTCGCACACACGCTTTGCACTTGACTGGTAGCCAATTGTAGACGCGGCGTTTCATTCCATGCATGTTGTGCATGAGAATCTGCTCACATTTTGTTCACATAACATACCACTAACATACATACATATGTACGTATTCGCATCTGTGTGCGCTCAAGTAAGTACTTACCGCTGCAGCAGCTTGGCGCTACGTTCATCCATCGTTGGATATTGACGCCCCTTCGATTTGCCCAAACATTTATTGCGCTTCTCGCTCACCACTTGACAGAAAAATCCCTTCTTCGCATCGAAACGCAAATGATACGAATAATCGAATGTCGGCTGTATTTTGAGGAAACGTTGCAAATCGTTCATCACATCCACCGGATTGAGTCGCAGCTGTTCGCCATCGATGATATGCAATTGTTGGGCGGGATAGTAGGCCAGCCAGTGCTCCAGATGTTGAGCATATTTGCCAGGATTTAGACAGCGATTACGCAAATCCTTTAGAGCTTTTGGTGCTGAATCGCCTGCTGTTATTACCTGCGAATTGAAGTGAGAAAGAGAGAAAGAGTTAGATACGTACATAGGTAGTTGGGCATTAAAAACAAATATTTAGTATTTTCCAGAGAATTGTCTACTCTTTTAATATGTTAACGCTTCACCTTTTAACGTACAGAGTGTGTTGAAATTCTCATTGTTGCTTTCGTGTATATCAGTGATGGGATTAGATAATTTTTAAAAGCTTTCTATACCTTTTCTTTACATCAGCGATGGGCAGATAGAGCTTTTGCTCTGTGTACGTCTATACAAAATGTATGGAAAGCTTTTGAAAGCTCTGCACGCGGGCAAAACGTTGCCCATCATCGATATATGTATATATATATGCAAGAACAGGATAAAAAATCTCCCTGGTCTAGACCAGTCATGATCACAACATATTCCCTCGTGCTTTTTAGAACTTTTTACAGATTTTATATCAGTGTTGGTTAGATAGAGCCTTTACTTTGTGCCAGCTATATATAACTTGTTTTGCATATATGACCGATCAAAGAGAAAAAAGCTCTTTATGATCATCACTGAACGTCCTTTTAAGTTTTCTATAGAGCTATGGTATATTTTTATCAGTGATGCTCAAAACAGCGCCAGCGGGCGGAACTCTTCAAAGCCGTCTGTATATTTTATATCGGTGATGGGCACCGCCTTGCCCGCGGGCAAAGCTCTTTTAAGCTTTCTATACATTTGGTATAGTTGCGTGCAGAGTAAAAGCTCTCTCTGCCCATCAGTCAAAGACTTATTTTTGATTTCGATTTTATTTTTCTCATGATAACAGTTATCGAAGGCCTTTATTTATTAAAAAAAAAAACATCTTCAATAAAAATAATTTGGTGAAAATCATCAATAATCGAAGATTCTTATAAATAAAAGTAAGTAGAGTAAAGTCATTTTGATTGCTGACTTTTATAAATAAAAGTCTTCGATGCAGTCTTGCAGCCCATTCAATTGTTGTATAATGAAGTGTAGGCTTCAAGCTGCTAAAAAATCCCATTATTTTTTGGCAGTTTTTTTTTGCTGGCAGCGTCTTACATATAAAAGAAAATTGTCGAACGAAAATGTTTGAAATTTTGGTGAATTTTTGCAGAAATTTTATAATTTTTTATGTACAATGTTTAAAATGTGATCGCATGTATATCGTCACTACACACGAATAAAGGCGCGATAGTGTTTTGGCGGCGAAAAAAGGCGTGTAAAAAAATTTTGCGAAAAAAGATGCCTCTGAAAAACTTCGGCGAAGTATGTTAAGAGTTTTTGACGCTAAAGTTTTTTTATGCGTCTTTTTTCGACGTCAACTTTCGAGCTCGCGCCTTTATTCGTGTCTAGTGACGATATGGTGTTTGTTGTATAACCAGCTAGACTTTTATAAAATAAAAATAATTAATATCAAATAAACAGAGGAAAAATAGTGAAAAATGGCAAAAATATCGCACTCCCGTTATTTTATTGGACAACTGTAAATAAAAATCGAAATGAAAAAAGTTTCATATTCCATTGCAATGGAACCGACGTTCGGATTTGATTTGTTGAAAATAACAGAAAGCCAAACTAGCGCAAATTTTCATACAATTCTTAATTTTTTATTTGTTATTTTCCGATGTATACAATGTTTTTCAGTGCTATGTATACAAAATGGCTTGAATCTCGCATTCATGTAACTTTATAGTTTTATTGTGCAAAAATCTGATAGCTCCAGTATGTACAGTAGCATTAAACTACTATATCCAATAAGAAAAACGACTAACCAAAACCACTAGTTGACGTTAATTTAAATCAAAAATTAGACAGCAAACACTTCATACGATACAGTGGAGGGAGTTATAATTAGTTATTTGCAAAATGGATTTACATTTATATAAATACCAGTAACTTTGCTGACAGCTGAAATGTACACCACACCACATGCATACATACAGGCTTTGTATTTATGTATGTATATGTTTTAAAAGACATAGATTATTAGGCCATTACCACAAATCCAATTAAATCGAAATATGCAACTTCTGCTGGTCTGGAAATCCGAAATTCAGCTTTTACTGATTGTGGTTTCGTGATAATCATTGGAAAGCGAATTTAACCAGCCATTTAGTTGTGTTATTTAACTAATTTTGATAACCGTTTGGTTTAACGCAGAGCTTGAAAATATTTAGATTTATCTACATTCTGTAATCGAAGTAATTACCAATGCATCACTTCGATTGCAAACAAAATCAATTTCAGTAAATAATTAGGATATATGTATATATGTATGTAGGTAAATATTTGCCCACAGTATTAGGGATGACTATGAAAATGTGGTTATACTTATGTAAGCCAAATGGTATTGGAGGTTTATTTAGCAAAGATTAAGTAATAATAGAGCGAATAGGTAGGTGTGGCTACCACGGGTGAACAGCGACGTATTTAGGCCACTTTGCTGAACCATTTAGATTCCTTTGAAGAATTTCATCATTTAGACTTGCATCCGCAACTTCACAACTGTGGTTAAAGAAAGCCAACCTAATTCATCACAATTTGCCCCAGGACAGTGCACGATTTTTCCCACTTCCACATCATCTACGAAACGGTTGGCTTGTTGGTAGAAGCCTCGCCTTAGCACTTGTCCAGAACCCAATTAGTGCTGAGAGCATCATTGTGATACGCTTTCGAAACGGTTCGCCGAGCAGCTCTGCATTTTTATCTATAAGACAGTCGCCCGTCAGTGTTGGATATATCCTAAAGAAACACAAACTTCCAGACCAGACCTCTTACGAGATCCATCTGTCTTAATGCCCCCTTTTGCTAAAAGAATCTGCTTGATCATGCCTTGCCTTGCAAGTTCGTCCGCAGAACAGTTCCTCTCTATACCCCTGTGTCTGGGAGCCTAAAGGAGAATTTTCTATTTAGTCAACTCCTGCAGAGATCAGCGAAGGACTAGACAAATTGTCGAGTTAATCATGACAGAGCTAACAGCTGCGTTCAAAACTCGGTTTTCTCTGAAAATGGAAATATATTTACCTACTATATCGGTTAAAAGTTTATTTAGCGCTTCTGTAAATGCTAAACCTCAGCTTGGAAGTAGTCTGGCCTAGGGCATCGCGAGAATCGTTCCACTTTGTCATTGTGCTTCGAACAATTTTTAAAGATTTGTGAAGTGGTTACACTTTCCACTCACTCATCCCTTCTTGTGATATCCATATAGGAATTTCTATTCGGGAGAAAAAAGTTTTAGTACAGCGGTTCGTGCTGGCGAGAAGAATACAAGAGTAGCACACGAGTACCGACTGTCATTGAGATGTCTGTCTGAAACGAAGAACAGCAATACTTATGTATGTAGCTGTCACCTTATTGAGACCAGACCACTATATAAGAACTCTATATATATGGTAGAACTGTTCTAACAACTCAAACAGATCTACTTGAGGCTCCCCCTACTCGATTCACTGAATCCCCTTATGAAAGTTGATTGTGAATAATCAATCCTTTTGGTGAAGCTAAATCGCTCCCACCCTTTTCACGGCACGGAACCACTTTCCCTACTGACGCCGAGAGCAGCATTATCAAACTTGATCTCGAAGTCATGTGTATCATTATTACCTTGCATTTTTAGAACCAGAAACTTACATAGGGTGTTGGGCGAATAAATAAGGACGCGATATTTCAGACAGTTTTAAATAGTTTTTCTTTGCTATTTTTTTCAAAAAATCTAAGTTTCCAGTTTAGTAGCCCATAAATTTTTTTTATATTACAATGCAAGTTTGAAGTAGATAGGACTTACCGTTGATTTTTGATTTTTGGATTTTTTTTTTTTGTTTTGCTGGCGGGGTTGTGCATTTTCCTCCATATAAACAAAAAAAAAATACTTTATACAGAAGAACGTGCATAAACGGTCAGAAAAAAATTGAATAGGCTCAGAGATTCTGATTAAAAAGTTTGAAATTTTGTCGATTTTTCATAATTTTTGTACAAAATTTAAATGGTTTTTGTTAGATAGTGAACTATGCTTTCAGAAAAAATAATAAATATTAAATACACAATAAGAAATAGCGAAAATTTGTTGAAATGTCGCATGCCCATTTATTTTCCCGTCACTGTATGTAGTTTCACCGGTTAGTACCATTGAAAAATGGCTTATGAAAAAGAATGAATGAACTATCAGCTTGATTACCTCATAAGAAGAATCTAGCTGGCTAAAGTTGAATCGATTTGCTTTTTCTCAAACGACATAACTAGATTCACGAGCTTTTCTCCTGTTCGGTCTTTGTTCTGCTTTTTATGAAATTCAATTTCTGCTCAAAGATTTAAAGTATTATTTCCAGAAGTTGTAAGGCTTCGTCACGTTCACAAGAATCGTCAAGATTGTTACAAGAATGTCACGTCCCCATATAATAAGAGATATTCAGTTTCAGTGTCCTTTAGAACTCGTTTCTTATTATCAGTACCTATCCGATGCTGAAAACATTTATCGATTTTGATTGTTGAAGTAACCTGAGCAGCTTCATTTCATTTTATACGACTTTGTATAACGTGAACAAGAATATTATTACATATATAGGCATGTACATATGTAAGAATTACATATTTATGTGCATATGTACTTAATATCCACATATGTATGTATATATCTACCTACTTAGTGCAATCTCCATAAGCAAAATAGTATTTAAATAGAAATGCAAATAAATGCATAAAAGCTAAAATACTTCACTTAGAAAACAATGTGTAAGCCGATAAGTGTAAAACGGTTAAATGCACCTAAAAATATGCAACGACTTAACTTACAAAACAATTTGGGGTTCCCTTTGTAAGTAGGTATTTGTAAGTAAGTAAGTACACATTCAGTAAGTAAGGATTTGTGTGGCCACAAATTGAATTGATAAGGATTGTTAAGTTGCCACACAAACACGCTCGTACTACATACATACACACATACGAGTGCATACGACAAACTGAATGGGGAAACATATGGCATAACAACTTGGATGGGTGTGAAATGATGATTGGTTGCC